CGATTTTCTTAAAATTTGGTATATTTGCATGAATGTTGTNAGGAAAAAAAATTGTTTTTATGAATATCATGAAGGTTTTGTGGGAACATTTTGATTGAGAGTTAATAAACTGATAACAGCAATCATTTTTCTTCCAGAAAAAATTCCGTCCCCAAAGGGTTAATGTGCTGGATACTTGTTGCGACATAGAAATTTTTTTTTTCTGCCTTCTTGTGGCCTACTCAAATTGGCATAAAGATGCTTAAGAAATTATTCAGAAGAGGATTTTAAAATTCAGTGAAAGTTTCTAGAGGGTATATGAATTGTAGAAGTATATGGTGGACTCTCTGCAAATGTCAGACAAATAAACGCGTTTAAACGCGTTTTCTTAAATACATCCCCTATTTATCTGTCTGATAATGTCTGCTATTTTCATCTGAAAAAAATATTATTTTAAATGTTCCCAAGTAATACTCTAGGTAGCATATCGTGAGAAAAATGGTGAAAAGTAAATGATTGATTGTTAGTATTAACTAATACAAAATAATGTAAAGAAGATAGATATTGTGATAGTATAACCAGATATAAAGGTTAGGTTCTTCTTCAGATCGACGACATCTTCACCGCATTGATTAAATTTACAATACACATCAAAGAAAGCGGAGACAACATCAAAGAGTGTGGGTGCCGCGGTGTCGTTGATCGGAAGAAGTACCAAAGGTTATAAAGAAATGTCCCTAACATTAAGATCTAACCTATTTACTAGTTATTGTTTACGTACAGAAACAGGAGTGCATTGTAAAAGAAAAGATTTCTTTATGATAACGATAGATATATAAAGTGCCATTCAACAATAATATTAAAGATTACATTTAGGGTGTGGGTGTGGGTGGGTGTTTTTGATGAAAGAAGAATTACCTACACTCACCCTGTGGATTTCATATATTTCCTGATCTTTTAGAATCCACTTAAATATTATTTTCAACTTTTTCACTCTCATCTATCTTATATTATGAATAAAACATTGGATTATTCTAATCATATGCTTTTCCTTTTATTATATTGAAGTAAGATTATTTAAATCTATATTTTTGTCTTATAGTCCCGCATATTACAAGAGGCTTTGATAACGACAATAAAACAAACTATTAATCAATCTACTTTACAAGCAGATAAGGATCGAACATAAGTTTGAACAAAAACTATTCCATGAATTAGATTAAATGAAAATCAATGAAGACGCTATGAAATCGAATCTATCATATATGAGGAAAATAAAATCTATAAAAGTATGTTTAAAATATTCTTTTCTGCGTTAAAATTTATACATCAGTTCTCATCTAGTCAGACATTAGTTCAAATATCAATACCTGGTCGCATAGTGTATAAATACGAAACATCCTGTCTTGAAATTTGCTATTTATATTTTAGCTTTCATGAGAAAATATACCAACATAAAAAAGAACTTAATTTTGTTAAGTAAGTGGACTATAGTGTACAGAAGATGCAAGTAATAAACTATTTTCAAAGGAAAAAATAAGTCAAGTTATCTTTAGCATAGAACTGTATCAAAATATATTTATACCTGTGAACGCGTTTAAATTCGTAAAAGCAATAGCGAAACCAACAGAAAAACGCGTATATTTTGAAAAACTTACAAGTTTCAACAGGTTGCAGATGGGTTATGTGTTTTAACGCGTTTCAAAATTGCATAATAATGTCGTTTAAACGATACTATTTCGTTTAAACGCTGTTATTATAGAACCTTCACTCGTTTAAACGCGTTACTTTTTAACGTTTGTCTGCCTGGGTAGGTGAATAACACATTTTTCTAGTAGTATGTGTTTGTCAGTAGAATCTCTGTCTGGTTTCTATTTCGTATAAAATAAAGATGATGAATTTGATTTCTCTCTTCTTTTTTTTTACAATATAGACTCAGTACGTGATTATCGTAATATAGAACGTGGAATGCTCTATTTATAAAAAAAACTGTCAAAATAGACAATCTGAAAACAAGAATGATGAAGACGAGAAAATGAATAGCGTCAGAAAGCACACAACAATCTACGATGTTAGATGTCATTTCTTTAAATATAGGTCGACACAATTAAAATTTATTCATTTGTGCTTTTAGATATGGAAAATGTCGATGACGTCAAAAGTGGGCCAACGAATGACGCGGTAGCTGAATACAGAAAAGATGAAGAAGGACAGGATAAAAGAAAAGAAGTAAATGAACATATTAATGATATTGTAAGCTATGGTCGTGATTATGGCACACTATTATCTGGCGTCTAGTGAAAAATGTTGCTCGATATTCAAAATGTGAAAATCACAAAAGATCGAGCCAATGCTTTGGATCAGCTTATTTCCGGAAGCCTTGATGTAGTCACTAATCTATATTTTGTAGCATCGACAGCAAAACGACCGTAAGTGATAGTTTCGGAATATGGGTATGAGTGTGAGTGGACGATGAGACAACTGTTGGTCTTCATTTAATTCATATTCATATACCAACATCCATAACCATAGCTTCACCCAGACTAATATCCACACGCACACCCTTATTATTATTGAAATCAAGATAAATGCATGAAAGGATAGATTGACGCTGAATATTTCTCAAACAATGTGATTATTTACTTTGCACGTCGTTTTTCCCAAAACAATTTCGATGATTTCCGTCATCTTCTTCTTGACAACTAGTTTTTTTTGAAAAAAAGTGGCAAATGTTTTTCGTATTTCTTGAAATTATATTTTCCTGATCGCTCATCTTCGAGTTCTTAAAGGAGTTCCATAGTAGTCAATTGATTTTTTCCTTGTTTGAAAGAGCACGTGAAGGTAGAGTATCTCCCAGAGTTTGAATGTTGAATTAAGCTTTTTTATCGCTAGATAAAAACGTACTTCTATAAATAGATGACCATTTTTTCAGAGTTTTTGATCTATCGAACTTGCCATTATTTTTCTTTGCATAAAAAACAAGAATTTTGAAAAAAGGACTCCGTCAAGCAATGTGGTCTGACATATTCTTTCACGTAAACATAAATATATGATTAAAATGAAGGCTCGTAGAGAACTTCGGATTGTTAATATATATATGTATTTATTCAACTATTTGTTGTAATTATTTGATAACAGAATAATTTAATTTGTTCTTTGTTTTCTTTTATTATTTTATGGTTAGACGCATTGAAGATAACTGAAATAAAATAAATATTTTTTCTTGTCTTTCGATTATGCGTATTTTATTTGTAAAGTTCTGAAGCGCATACAAATTGGGTGGAATATACGAAAGAAAGCGGAGATCACGATGAGAAAGAGGAACATGCGATAACATAATGTTGATCACACCATCATCAAAATATGATTGTAAAGCATAGACAAAAAATATTAAAACAAGAAGGTGAGTGTGTATGTCATAAATTGTTGCCATCATTTATTTATTAATGTATTTATTTTCAGCAAATTGTAACCATAATCATAACAAGGATTAATATTTCTTTTTAATGAAACACAATAAAGGTTGATACTTATAGCTTTTGATTCAATTATTTTACAAGCAAGAACAAAAAAGTTTTGCTTGACGATTGTTACTTGCAATAGACTTACACAATATAAAAATGATTAAGAAATAACTGAAAGAGAAAAAAGAAAAAGTTGTTTTTTGTTTCATAAAAATTACTTTTCCGCGTTGATTAACTCTTCGTATATTAGCATAATGTTATTTGCAAGTATATGAGAAATGAAAAAGGTGTAAAACGAACGAAATGGTTTGGCATTAAAGTGACTGTGAAGCTTTCTTTCCGAACCTGTTAAGAGCTGACACTTCAATTTAGTACCATAGATAAAAGAGATTCAGGGCTCCATTTTGGTAAAAAGAAGAATTCTTTATGTCCGTTTGATTTAGTGTCCAGCAACAGGATCAGGTGCTCAGTACTCGTCCTGGCTCGAAGCATGGGTTCGGTTGCAAGCTGATCAGATCGATTCAAATGCCAAGCATAAAAAAGTGTCATTATTGTTTCAAATTACTAATTTATATAAAAGCATAGGAATAAAATCCAGTTCGATCATTATTGAGTAATTGATTGTAAACCCCCTCCTGCATTAGAAGACCCCCCACATTAGTAGACCCCCCCATAATACAAGACCCCTCTGGACAAAAATTTCATCAGGCGTAATAGAAGACTCCCCTTTTATTAATTAATTTTTTGCTAATTAGGATGTTTAATTAGGGAATTTCCGTCCAGAATTGCACAGTTTTTAGGTTTTCTAGCTGGGAATATTTAGACAGTGGGTTCAAATGTATCCCTCAACCCTCAAAACCGTGAAAATTGCTTTGAGAATCCTGAAAATCGCTCTGGCTTTCTGGAAAACCACATTTAGTTAATAATTGCTAAAAAACCAAGGACATAAAACAAGACCCCCCTGAGAAATTTTTACGACGAGACATAATAGAAGACCCCCGGGTCTTCTAATGCAGAGGGGGGTTTAGTAGAAAATAGGACACAGAACTGGAAAGTGATATTGTCCTACTAAAAGACTACTTGGATCAGTCGGTATTTTTATTTTACGATAAAAGAAATGAAACATTTATGACTCATGAATTAATAATAGATACCCGACTTTTTTCCTCAACATAGAGATGTAAGAGGATGATCATCTGAAACACGTTCAGAGTTCTCCATTTTCAATTGATGTAAAACCTCAGGTTACTAGCTGTTATCGTTGTCGAGTTATTGAGATTAGACACATCACTCTTTAATTCCGAAATAGACATTAGTCAAATGCTCTTTTCTTTCTATTGAAATAAATAAAATCTACTGTATTACTTAACTTAAATATTTTTAAGTGTTAAGCATTGTTCATTTCTCTTTATTGAAAAATTATATGAAATAAATTCATAATATATGACTATCGAAAACAAATTAAAAAAAAACGAAAACAAAAAATTCAAAGATATTTTCTTGTTTCCTGTAATTATAGATCAACTGAAAAATAAAACGAAAAATTTTTGTTTTATTCTAGAAGTGAATGAGACTTTCTAAATGTGTACCATATTTTCCAAGTAGAAACATGAGAATAACACCAAGAATAAAACCACTATTTTGACATAATAATATTTTAAGTTTTAAAATCGTTGTTATGGATTTCTTCGAGTCAATATGATCTTTTTCTATCTCATCACCCATTGAAACAAGTTCTGGTACCTATACGAAACAAAAAAAAAAGAATTTCCTGATTAAAAAAATAAACAAACAGTCATCTACCATATCTGCAAGTCCAACATACACAAACATTCCACCAGCTAAAGCATATATCCATGGATGAAATTCTTCTAATTCTCCTTTAAAAACAAAAAGAATTAAATTATTTATTGAATAATTTCAATTTTAACAGACCTAATTTTGCGCCAACAAAAAATCCAAGATAACAACTACAAGCTGATAGAAAATTGACAATGATTGCTTGTCCAATACTTAAACCACTACTAAGTAAAACAGCAAGATCACCAAGTTCATGTGGAAATTCTTCACATGCTATTGGTAAAGTCATTCGAAGACCTTCACCAATGGATACCATAAAAGCTGCACCTAATGTTAAACCATCAATAAAATTATGTAACATATCTCCAATAAAAATCATCCATCCAGCTGCTTTCATTGCTTTTAGATTTTCTATGAAACTTTCAAGATGTTTACTTGGAACCAGTACCTAAGAAAACAGGAAAACGAAGATTTATTTAAACAAAAAACTTAATTATTAGTTTTTACAAAGAATTAAAATATGATAACTAAATTTCATTAGATGATAAATTCCTATTCACAGGAAATTCTAATGAAAGGACTATGAGAAATAGTTCATGAAAATTTACTTCAATGCATCAAGATATCAGTATAGACAATTGATTTGAATACAACAAGAATATAAAACTGAAGTTTATATTTTTTTCGGATTGGATTGAATCAGATGTAGGTTTAAGTAAAATGTTCCTCATCCAGTCGGGATTGGTACCAAGCGACTGGTCCTACTCATGTCTAATCAAGTAATTTCTTTTAATACGAAAAGCATATATATATTTATATGATGTGTATATTTATGAGACTGGATTGAATTAATAAATTTCTCTTATTACAGCAATCTAACGCCAAACTTGGAGTTACATTCCTTCAAACGAATGTGTAAAAATAAATTTCAGGTATACATGATCAACATTCTTTTGAACCCTTGTAGTAATAGGTTTTTAGCTTGTAGCATACATTACACAATTTTGTGTAGAAATTTGAATTTTTCGGAAAGTGAAATTTACCGTACTCTTCTATATTTGAGACATACTTTAGAACTTTTATCAGTTGATTTGTGAGTACTAGAATGAATAGATTCATTTATATCACTTGATTCTATCTACAACGAAAAAGAAGAAAAAAAACCAACTATTTCGATCAAGTAAATAACTCAAGAAATTTACTGATATTTCATCACCTCCATGGCTATGTATACAAATTATCTAAATATAGAAATAAAATAAAACAATAGGATTTGTTAGATAATAACATATACAAACTGTTTCAATATTAAAAAAAATTCTTGATAGTTGATCACGCATATAAAATATATAAATTGTAATCATTGTGAGAAGAGCTTTATTAAGATAGCAATGATCAGTATCAAGTTTTGGAATGTTAAATGCCTTGATAAATGAAAAAAAGAAAACGAATTTTTTCCGATAAAAATATATACATATGTAAATGAACTAACCATTGGAATTAAATGAAATATCCCTGATCCTGTCAGTGTACCCACAGCTGAGAAAATGACATGAAACAAAAAAAAACAAATTATCGATATATCTGTACTCATAAATAAATATTCACTATACCTAAACCAATAAAAGTACTAAGAATCCATTTAAAAGCAGATTTTTTTCGAAACGGTAAAATAAAAGCACCAGTCAATGCTGAACAATTAATAAAAGTAACAGCAATCAATCCAATCAAAATATCTAGAATAATCATCGAGTTTTAAATTAAATAATCATACTTATTGTATACTTTTCCATGTTGAATGTCCTTTTGATTCATTACAGTTACCATTAATTTTAACATAAACCAGAGCAGGTAATAATCGTTCGATATCAGTGAAAGTTAAACTACCATTTATATTATCTGATTGAATATTGACGATATTAAACAGATCATTTATTGATTGATAACACTGTAAATTATGTGAAGATATTATTATTTCTTTTTTACAAGTAGTGTCATTGCCATTAGGTGATCGTGAGTCTTCGTTCAAAAAAATACATTCTCAATGCACTGAACAAACTTTATTAAAATATATTTTTCAATACTTTCATTGAATTGGTAAACGTTAAACTTCCTTTGTCCTTCAAAAGAAGTCCATGCCCATTAGCAATTTTGAAATTAAGATATATTGCATGTGAAGATGCATTGAGGTCGAGTCTTTCACAAACAATATGATTTTTTATTTAGCTCATCGTTTTTGCTCTGTCTGTTTTTCTGGTCGTGTGCTCCATAATTCTCGAGGAAGTCTCATTGTAGCCAACTATTTGTTTTTGTTGTTTGAAAGAGCATGTAAAGCGACAGTGTCTAACAAAGACTATTTTTTGAATAAAGCTTTTGTTAGGTATTATATAAAAAAGCTCTTCTATAAATATATAGAATCAAGTTTCACAGAAAATTTCAGGTTTTCAAATGAGCTATTTTCAATCCTTGATTATATAAATATCTCCCGAAATCGACATAGTATAAAGCAGAAAATTTTAACAGTCTTCCCACTACAACTCGAACATATCATGAATGTTTCACACAATTTGAATGTTCTTGGTCCAAGATCAATTTTTGAGAATGGGCTCCTTAAGTGCTTCAAAAGAAAAAAGTAAAAATATGAAGTCTATGGAAAGATCAAGGGACCTAATAGAGATCGAACTGAATAGGAATATTTTCATTTGGATTCAATTCGATTAAGAAAGCATAAGAAATTTAGCTTATTTTTAATTAATAACCTTAATAAACGGAAACAAAATGATTGCTCACTATTACAAATACATAACAAAAGATTTTTTCTGTCTAGCATTTTTTACATCTTTAACAATATCAACTTATGGAGACAAAAAGAAACAAAAACCATATTTTCTACTTATTGTTTTCGTACTCGTCGTTTCCGCTGTCACGTTCTTTACAAGCATATATACATTGAACACAAAGGATTTCATGTTCGGTTGCTTTCGAATTCGAACATTTTTGAACACAATAGTAAACATGATTGAAATATTACAATGAAATAAAGAAAATGATCAAACTGCGAACTTCTGGTTCTAGTGATATCCAACCTCTAATAACCGTCTATTTGAATACCGGTGCTTGTCTCGTGTCACATTACCGGCGGTCTATCAGAAGCTTACTGACAGTTTTGTGTCAATTATTACCTTCAAAAAGAAAACTTAAAAAAAGCAACTGCTGTAAACTTTTATTCGCCACTGTAAAATGACTACTACAGAATGACAAGCCTATTGATCTATATTTTTATTGACCGTCTTGAATTCATTTGTAAATCTTACTCACGAATAAATGTACAATATAACTGAATATAAGTCACATTAAGCCTACAAATATTACACAGATTGAATAAATATTCTTAAACATTATATCAATTTGAAGCAAAGAAAAAATAAATTAACTGAGTCGAAATAGTGTCCTCTATATCATTTCTATAGCGATGTATGATCTCACTAAATACTAAAACGAACTATATCGTTTTATTTCTTTACTCAACAATAAAAAAAAAGATTTCATTATCTATTAAATGTATAAGATAATTTAATAGTATGAAGAAAAAAAAAATTTCATTCAATATTTACTTTATGTTCTACATTCAAATCTCGAATATCATTATCATGATGAATATTTTGTATTACTTTCAAATCATCTATACTATTTGAATGGATAAATTTTCGATAAAATAAATCCAAATTAGTTTTTGTTTTAATATGTTTATAAAGGAGATGTTCTTCAAAATTAATTAATATGTCATTCTTTGTTAATACTGTATATGATCCCACTAAAATCGAAATGATGACTAGATAATAGATCATTATCTAAAAGAAAATTATGACTATACTATGAATAGAAATGAGAACTTGTAGAAAAAAAAAGAAAGAAAAATGATCGCATTGAATAGCTAGCAGAGATAATCAAACTGAAATATTTTATCACAAAAAATCAATGCAAATAATACTTCAAAAGATTGATGTTTTTTTTTGTTTTTAATTTTAATGATTATGACAAAACGATCGAGATATATCTCGACTACAAACATAATCATAAATATTTATACGATGATAGTAGCGCCAAACTGATGCTAATACTAAGGCAATTATAACACCGATTATAAGAAAAAGATTTTGACATATGAGAATAAGTGTTTTTATTAAACGTCGTTGTTTCGATGTTTGATTTGTTTGTTTGAGAATTACTTGTAAATGATGACCAAAATCATTCAGTTCAGGAATCTTAAATCAAGAAGAAAAAAAGAAAATTATTTTTAATTATGCACGCTACACTAGTGTACAGAACGCAAAAGAAAAAGTGCTTTATTAAAATTGACGGATCCGATACTCACTATTTTGTTTCTATCGCAACCAACAAACTTATTTTCAGGGATAGAGTTAAAACTGTTAGAATGTTTTTCGTTACTGGTAGAAACAGTCAGATCGAATGGTATACCAGCATGAGTCATTCTTTGTTTTTATGACTATATGACGATGAAATTAATCTTGTGATTCAACCTGGATAAAAACCACTGGTACATCGAGATAGTTGTTTTCTGATTGACAATCTACTAACGATTTTTAGTGCGTTTTAATATTTATCTCTATAAGCTTTTCTTGTCTTTTGCCATAGAAAACTGTCATAGGATTGTAAATTCTATGGTAGTTTTCCACATTCATTAGCAATTCATAAAACACAGATGTTATTTATTATTTGTATAATTAATCTGCTTGTCATGTTATATTCGCTTGTTTATCTTTCATGTTTGTACGAAATATATCTTCTAAACAGTAGAGAAAGCCTAAGAAAATGGATATGGACTACAATGCTAAACGATTAGTCAATTTTGTTTTGACAGTATAACTTCATATGAAAGTGCGTTGATAAAATGTGATCAAAATAATATGATGAATTTCTACTAAATAGAATAGTTTAGCACATTTTTTCGCATCGAAATAATTTTCAATGTTAGTCAAAAAAAGGAGACTTTGATTGGCGAAAATAAAATCATGTAAAAAAGACATTTACGGTTAATAGTTATAACTCTGATGAGGACTTCAAAACTATATCAAATTCAACAGTAGGACGTAATTAATTAATAAAATAATTTCTATTGAAATTGAAATTATTTAAACAATACAAGACTCAATGAGTGTTCTCGCCTTTGTTTTTAAACATATTACATATTGTAAGAAAGTTCGAAATATTTTGCATCTTATGACATACTGACCTTGAACAAAGAGTAAAGTATAAAACTTATATTAGAAAAAAGAAAGGACGATAATTATAGTTATCGAAACAGCTAAAAATGGTACTGTATAATGTCGTTTCATACAGTCTACGGTTATAAATAGCTGTTGATTGACGTTTGGT